GGGTTGCGTTAAAGTTTCGTTAGGGTTTCGTTAGAGTTTCGTCAGAGTTTCGTCAAAGTTTATATCAAACTATAATTAATAAACTATAATTTGTAACTAAATAATAATTCATCGATGAAATTATTTCGAATGAAATACCAAAAGTGTTTCTATGGTAGGAGATATTAAATATTGCAATAATATTATATATTATTATTTATATGTATTTAATTATTTTTATTTATATTTATTTAATTTACAATAATATTATATAATATTATTGCAATATAAACTTATGGATCTTAATATAAGTGCATAGTTGATATTATATTGATAGATACATGTACTAAAATCACTCACAGTTTCTAACAGAGAGAAAAGGAGAGAGTAAAAGAGAGTAAGGGAGTAAGAGGGTTATAGAGAGAGAGAGAGAGAGAGAGAGAGATTGAAAGAGAGGAATATATAGAAATAGGGGTAGTCCACATCTCTCAACTCTAACTTCTATCTACTATAGGATTCTTGGTTTAAGCCAAAATCAATAGGCGTGTGCTCCGATCTGATAAGTATACTGAAGAGAAATCCTTCTCTATCTCTCTTACTCACTCATTCTCTCTCTCTCTCTCTCTCCTTGCTCTTTCTTTCTCATACTCTCTCTCTCTCTCTCTCTCCTTTTACTTCTTAACCATCTCCTTCCTTTCTTGCACTCATTAACTCGCTTATTCTACCTTCTTCAAAGGTGAATTCTCTTCTAGTTTAGAAATTTTGTTAAAATACACATACACACTTATATTCAAAACCAAACCTAATTATCTGATGTATATACCATGTTTCTATAGTATATTTTATTTCATTTAAAAGTAAATAATATATGTAATGAATTATTTATTATTTATATATATATAATTGTTTCGTGTTATTTAATTTAAATATAATAACAAAGTAAAATAATATATAAAATATATATATATTTATATATATATATACCTACTTATTTCATAGATACCCTATATATTCCCATCATAGCATATTTTATTTCATTTAAAAATAAATAGTATATATATATATATATATATTTCAGTAACTTTTATAAGTTTACGCATAGCTTTTGAATTTTAAATAATTAATAAAACAATTCTTTTAATTTTCCATCAAAAATTAAAAGAAAATAAAAATTGTTACTTTTCCTATCAATTTAATTTAAATTTGAATTATAAATCTTTTAATTAAAGTATTTATAAATTTATTTATGTATCAAATTGTACATATATATATATATAGGAACTCGTAAATCCAAGAAGTAGTTCTATGGTGCTTTTCTCGGAACTATAGTTGCTTCTAGGTTTCCTACCTCGATCGTAGAAACTTCAACAAAGAGTACTCGAATCTCTGTTATCTCTCTCTCTCTCACACACTCTCTCTCTCTCTCTCTCTCTCACTCACTCACTCTCTGTACTTTTAGTATTAACAGGTATTTAACCCTTCGACGAGTAATGGATTCTACCAGTCAGAGAAGTCAGTGTATTTATAAGAACATTCAAAGAAAGTTAATTACTACTAAAATAAATGATTTAAGAGTTTATCAAAGTAAACGTATTTCAATCAAAGAAAAAGAAAAATTCCAAAACAAAATGTGTTCAAATCAAATGAAACAATATAATAATATAATTTAATAAATCTTATAATCCATTCTACTTTATTAGAATAAAATTATCAATTAATTTATATTTATTTTTGATCCAACTAATAATAATTGATTTGTTCAAATAATTCGATGTTATATATGCTTTGTCATTTTTATTTTTTTATTTTTATTTACTATTAATGTGTAATACTTTTAGCTATGATTATTCATCCTTTAAATTAAAATATAAAAATTTAATTTAATAAATACTACAATCATTCTACTTTATTAATAAGATCATCAATTAATTTATATTTATTTTTGATAAATATATATATATATATATATATATATTTTTTTTTTTCTGTATGATTTATTATTATATTTAAAATAATATATTTATATTATTAAATAAATCAATTTTAAACTAATAAACTATTACTATTATTATTATTATTATTAATATATTTGATCGAATACGAAACATTTTATGTTGATATTACCTGTGTATATATATATATAATAATATTTTGTAATGATTTAGTTTATATTGCATAATCTTTCGAAATTATTCCAAAGAATTAATTTCCATATTCTAAAACAATGTCACCCTAACCCACCACCCACCATCTCTGCGTTTCATACTTATCGATATAACTTCTCCCGATTAAATTTCCTCGACCGGTTTCAATAGCACCGGTTGTTATAATAGCTAATCTGCGAGAGGATAGAGTCTCTCTCTCTCTCCTTAAACCTCGAGATGTTTGAGGTACTATAATACTCTCTCTCTCTCTCTCCTAGAATTTACCTCTATTCTATAATCAAGCATAGTTTCTAATACAGTAGCTAACGTAAACTACCAGTCTAACTATTCTATTGAATATATCGCATGATTTTCTACCTACAAAGATTTATTTTACATTTTAACACACACACACGCACACATATAAATACAATTCCTCAATCAAATCATTTCTTATTCGTTAATAATTATAAATAAATGAATAATTAAAATTAAATTAAATATTACGAATAAAATTGTTCTCTCTCTCAAATATATTATTGATTATATAAATAAAATTTGCAATTAAATATAATACACTTATTAACTTTTTTTTTTTTTTAATAAAATAACACGATATAATTCAAATTCGTTCAATAAAATAATATATAATATAATCAAATAAAATACTACACTTACAAATAAAATCAAATCAAATAAAATACTACTAAAAAAAACTAAATTAATTAATTAACAACGAATACAAAATAAAAAAATATCAATTTATCAATTGATGAAACCAATAAATCATTTTAATTTGAAAATACCTAAATGTGTTTAACCTTCTTATTATACTCTATTATATTTCTATTTCTTTCTTTTCTACCCATACCCACCTCATCCCTTCCCCCCCCATGGAAAAGAAACTACGGTATGACCGACAGAATAAAGAATTAAACTTTGAAATTAGAATTCCTAAACGTGAGAGAGAAAAACGATCCCCATATTCTTTTTCAACTACCCAGGTTAGGTGATGGTACGATCTCTAGACCAGTCCCTACCCCTTTCTCCCTACCCTCATCCAATCTATATTACCCTTAACCTTTTGGGTAGAAAAAGAAAGGGTGGTAGTAGTAGTAGGAGTAGGAGTAGGAATAGGAGGAGGAGGACGAGTCTCGTTCGGATCGTAAAAACCATGCCATGAAAATCGTGTTCTCCATTCGTGTTCTCGTTCTTTCTTTCGTTCTTTCGTTCTTTCGTTCTTCAACTTTCATTCCGTTCGTCCTCTCGCCAATAGTGCGAATGCGAGACTGAAGAATTTTTCCATTTATCGCCTTTCTTGCATGAACGCATACAAGAATTTCGATAGGACGGAATATGGGCGTTCGAAATGCTTTGCTTCCTTTTTCATCACCTATTTTTCTCTTTCTCTCTTTCTCTCTCTCTCTCTCTCTCTCTTACACACACACACACACACACACACACACACACATATCTCCACATAACTTACACACAAGTTCACTTATTCTTTTTCTATCTCTTTGTCTCATACATGCACATACATGCACATGCATCTACATATACACACCTGTTCACTTATTCTTTTTCTATCTCTTTTTCTCCTACACACACTTGCACATGTACTGCACACACATGTTCACTTATACTTTTTATATCTCTTTTACTTATACATACGCATATACATGCATATACATATGCACATATGTATATTGCACACATTTGTTCATTTTACTTCTATCTCTATCTTTCTTTCTTTCTTTCTTTCTTTCTTTTTTCATTGACTATTTTTATCGGATATATACATATACATATATATATATATATATAAGAAATATGAGAAATGGTATAGAGAATATTACCTACTCTTCTTCTAGACATTGAATATCTAATCGATAACAGTGTGTTCGTTCATGCGTGTACACTCAAACTCGTAAGGTTAGATGTCGGTGACTTCCAAGAGAAACTTTACCCTAGCCCGATTATCCCCAACGATATTATTGTTATTATTATTATTATTATTATTATTATTATTATTATTATTATTATTATTATTATTATTATTATTATTATTATTATGAAAGTCTATACTATCTTGAATTCTTATACTTCTGTTTCTTCTTTTATTCTTTGTTTTGTGTGTGTTTTTTTTTTTATCTATTTCAAACACGTCAATCTCGATACGTTCGATGCAGAATATCGAAATTTACCGACAACAACACAACGTGGGCATACGATTTATCTATTCAATACTACGATTGGGATTTTATTCTTTTTTGTTTTTTAAATAACAATATACGAAAACTGAATTGTTAAAACTTCAAATCTGTTTGATATCCGAATTGCAATTTCATTCCACAATATAATATAATTCAAATACTTTTAGTAGTTCATTTTAAAATTAATGTAAAAAATTAAATCATAAGAACAATTATTCTTTTTTTTTAAATAACAATTAATGATCTGAATTATTAAAACTTAAAATCTGTTGGATACTAAAATTCCAATTTCATTCTACAATATAATATAATTCAAATACTTATATTAATTCATATTAAAATTAATGTAAAAAAATAACAGCAAGTTTTAAATAATAAGAACAATTGTAACATATTATTCTCATCTTTATAAATTATTATTATTGTTGTCTTTAAAAAATATTAAGAAATACTTGAGTTCATATTAAAATTATTATAAAAAATAATAGCAAGTTTTAAATCATAAAAACAATTGTAATATATTATTCTCATAGTTATAAATTATTATTATTATTATTGTAATTGTCTTTATGAAATATTTATAAGTATCATTAAATAAAACGTTTATTATAAGATTATTTGCATTAAATTAACACGAAAAATGTTGGTTTTATGTCAACAGGTCAATTAACCCCAGAATTTGTACCAGAATTTTTAGCCCCTTTGGAAAATCACACGGTAATCCAGGGTCGTGACGTGTCATTTACTTGCGTCGTTAATCATTTACAAACTTACAGGGTAATTATTAAAACCAATTATTAATATTTTACATTAATACTCGAAAATAATTCATCTTACAATTAATTCATTCATGTTGATTCCCAATAAAACAAATTTATTTTTTATCAATTACAATCATTTAGATTTCATTTTGAATTATAATATTCATAATAATATATAATTATTAATAATAATAATAATAATAATAATAATAATAATAATAATAATAATAATAATGTTAATGATGATAATGATGATGTTTATAGGTTGCTTGGATTAAATCAGATTCTAGAGCGATCTTAGCTATACATACACGTATGGTTACACATAACCCAAGGCTATCTGTTACTCACAATGGACACAACACGTGGAAACTGCACATATCAAATGTCCAGAAGAATGATTCAGGCAGTTATATGTGTCAAGTCAACACAGATCCTATGCGAAGTCAGGTAAATTGTTATAGTATCATATAATAATAATCATCTTATTGTATTTGCATTAGAAACTGAATAATTATATTTATATTATTATATAATTTTTTATATATTATATATTTTATATATTATCATTTCTTAT